CGCCACGCATGCCCGACGAGACGCTTTATTTAATAACAAAACACACAGCACGGAGAAAAAGAAGGAGCAAAGGAAAAGCACGATAAAGGCGACAAGCCCCGAATTGGCCAAGCTCACTTTATTTATCAGTATTCGCGGGACAACATACTTTGCGCTTAATAACGACCATTTCTTATCGCTCTCTTTGTGAGAAATGCTTGCTTGTTTATTCCGGCGTGAAATGGATTTCTTTGAAAGGCTTTTAGTTTGCTTAAAGGACAGAAATCAACATCCTGTTCCTTTGTAGAAAAAAAAACTATAGACTTGTTCAATTTAAAATGTATTAAGAATAAGAGAATTTTGTTAATAAATTTATTTCCTAAAAAGAGGTTTTATGAAATAAATGATATAACATTGGTTGATATCTATTTCTTATTTCCAACTTTCTTTACATATATTTACGATGCAGCTCAAAATGGATTTTCCACTTTTCTCCATATTTCCTCTCTCCCTAGACAGTCGGGCAGACCGTGCCGCCGCCTTTTGGGACAAAAAAGGCAGATTAGGATGCATATACAAAAAAGATGAGAGAGAAACGTATATAAATTTTTGCCCGTAGCTCGTTCTCTGGCTAGTCGAGGATTTGCAAAGGCAAAATGACAAATTTGGTATGCGCGCTGCGACGACCCCTTTCTTTATTCCGAGCAGGAAAGAAAATTATGTGACATGACAATTTTATGAGGAGAACGGCCGTACATATAGCCGCAGGGAACAGAACTGAAACTCCGTGTATATGTAAGATGGCATTTCCATATCCTCGAGGATATCGCGAGGGTAGCAGCGTCGTTGCCCCCGAGAGATGTTTATTGCCCTTTTCACTGGGTCCAAAGGTCCCCTTCAAAAGAAAAAAAAATGTAATTTCTCTCGGGCACTTTGCGGTCATTTGAGAAATGTCCTGCAATATTTTACATAAAATTATTACACCACCATAATCCATACCCTGCAAAATCTATTGGCTAGAAACTCACATAAATCGTTATGTTCCAATATTGCGATTGTAAAAGATATGATCAATAATATTGGCTATATTGAATCAAATAGATTAATTAATCAGAGTTTAAATATAGTATTATTTTTTAATTTTTAAAAAAAAATCCATCTGCTACTGACAGATTGACAAATTTTGCTGCTATCGTGAAAAGTCGCTGCGATTTATTCGGTGTCGGCACAAATCGAGATAAATCGTCCACTTTGGAAGGAGGCGCGAGAAAAAGTGTTTGTTGTTTCGGGTGTTTTACAAATACAATAATGGGTCCGGCGCCGGGCGCGAAAGCGCTAATTAATAAAGCATCAACCGGCAATAAATCAATCACAAAGGAAATTAGGCTCGTTTTTTAAAGCAAGCGAGAAAGTGAGGAAGCGAGTTGGCTCTGGTTCGCACGCACACGAAAGAGATTTCCATCGTAGCGAGAAAGAAAGAAAGAAAATAGAGAAAGAACTAAACGGCGGTGAAGGCGAGAAGCGGCTCAGAATAGAATCCCACTCGATCGCGCCGAGAGAGAAAACAAAAGACCAACTCGATAAACGAGCGGGTGGGCGAAAGCAGGTAAAACATAGACTCGAGAGAAACGGCTTTTTTACTCCCTGTTCTGTTCTCCGCAAAGTAAATAAGGCGGCCAGAAAATAAAATACAGAATAGTTGTCTCGTGGCGAAAAGGTAAAAAGAAACTTGTGCAGGCAATTGGCGGGTGGGAGAGGAAAAAAGAGAATCGTCGCTGGCGATAAATGATGGTCCTTGTTTTATTGCCCTCGCTAGGTTGGATTGTACGAGCCACTTAGTTGACCCCGTCGGTAATTCCCGTTTTTGCGACAACAACGCCTGCCAGATGCCTGTCCGCTTTTTCCTCCCTCGAGCAGCATCATCGGTAATTAATGACCTGTGCGGATAAAACTTCGTGACTCGTTTTCGTTTTGTAAATAATGGACGCCATAGGGTTTTTATTTCTGAACATCTGCCCCCTAAACAAAAGTTTATATCAGGTTACGTTAGAGAAATTTTAAATAGATTGGCCCGATAAAACTGTACATTGGTTTGATTTATTATAAATTTGAAGTAGCCCCAGCCTAATTTATGATCAGATTTTTTTCAACACGAACAAAGTATAAGAAATATAAATTTCTTAATTTTTTATATTGATAAAAATATTCAAATTTGTCCCAAATAATTTTTAGAAACAAGAATAGAAAATATTTAATTTATTTGCAAAATTTGCAATAGTCGTCGTCACCAGGTTATCTTTATTTTATCATAGACGGAAATTTTAAAATTATTAGTGTACGTTTAAATATTTTAATAAGTTAAGCAAGTTAAGAAGTTTAGTTCAAGCAGATATAATTTAATTAATTGATCATACGTGTTAAAAGCCAATTCATTGATTACCTTCGGTATTTCAGTCACTTCAAAAACTAATTTTACAATATTGATTAAATTTATCAACTTCAAAACGTCATCTGATAAATTAATTAAAAATTCAGCTCTGCCTGTTTGTTGTAAAAATTACTTGGTCATCCAATTTAACAAAAAGAATATTCTTGAACCACGCATCCCTCCTACATTCGAGGATAGTATTCTTACGAAACACTCCCCCGACCTTTTTATGACGCACACAAAAATAGAAATGAAAAACAAGTCTCAAAAGAATCCATAAAAATGATTCTGTAGCGGCGGTCCAACGTTATCTATGGTTATGAAAGAGCGTAATAAATAATTCATCAGTCGGGAAGAAAGTAAAAGGGCATTCGTAGCACCCTGTTTTGTGGGGCATAATTTTATCGGCTCTTTTCTCCCACTGAACGACATGTGCATGTCGGAGCGCTACTGTAACCTCGTCGACAAGCCCCTGCAGATCGTAAGTTATGCAGCACGTGCAGTGCATCTGTGCTGCCGGCTGCATAACCTGAACCGCCAGCTGTGCGGTGGTGACCGAGGGAAAAATTCATTCGGACAAGTGATGACTTGGTTTTTTTTATTTAACGCGGCAAATACGAGCAGGCAAGTTAGGAGGGCGGTGTTTGAATAAACGTAAGCAAGCCCAAGTTCATTACTTCAATTTGTATTCATGAGAGAATGGGAGGAGATGTGGAGCGGAAAAACGCAGAAAATTATGTTGATTCTCGGCCGTTTTCTTAAAGCATACAGTCGTGTCGCCAACGAGCTTTGGGGAAAAGCAAAGGGATCTGGTTAATAAAGTCTTTTGTTTAAAGTTTACAGGATACCAAATTCAGAAGTGGTTTTAATTTAATTGAAAGCCTTCTAATAAGGGTAGAAAGAAAGCATGATATGAAATTTAATGTTCAGATGCAGGAAAAAATTCATACAATATTGTCCTGGAAACTTAATTTCCTTGGAGTTATTTTTGATCAAGCTAAAATTATAGCAAGAAATATTGGTATTATTAATTTCAGGATTTATTTTTCAAACATAACTTTTTGTTTTATAGTAGCCAATATCTCAAATTTTCTTGTTTTTCTTTTTAGATTTTATTATTAATTTTCTCAAAAATGTGAAAATTTTGTTGCAATCAAAATACAATATTTTATTTTTAATGTATATAAGTGAAATGGGAGCCTATTTTAATAATCTCATTCCTTTGCAAAGACCCAAATCTAATTTCTGCGTGTAATTTATGTGGCGCGCTCATGGAAGGTTTTCCATTTCCACTCGACAAACCCGCGTGGAATTTAACATTATATTCAATTACGGAATTGGCCGTCCAGACTAACTCTGTTGGGCTTCCACGGGCGACTAGCTGCATTTGTTGCAAAGGTTCTTGGCACGCGGCACGGCCCAACAAATCTCCCCGCGCTTGGCCTACTGCCTGCGCTGTGTGCATAATCAAATTACACACGCCCCCGCCCGAAAGCGGCGCGTGCATTTTAATGAGCTCCGCGCGTCGTTTCAAACGCAACCCGACTCGCCAAAAGTCGGCCGACGATTTATGCCGGTGACAAAAAGAACAAGGCTTACTCTTCTTGTTCGCGCAAAAAACCTCCCACTGAAGAGACAAACTGCCTTCAGAAACGCGGACCGCGGTGCCGGAAGTTTGCTCCTCGTGCTGGAAATCCTTTCGGAATAAATTATTGAAAAGAGCAGCCGCGACGCCACGCAATGAAATTTTGCAAAAACACAGGGATTTATTGCGTTTGACTTGGAGATGAGATGGTTTGTCCTTTCAAAGTTGAGCATGAAAACTTTCTTCAATTTCTTAGAGCTATGCAAATCGTGTCATTTTCAGTTGGGTTAATATCTTCATTATAATACTCATGTATTATAAAGTATATGTAAAGGGCCTGAAAATCATCAGAGAAAAGTTGCAGAACAATATAAATTGCGCATAAACTTCTGTTCAAACTTTTTGCCTCATAGTGTGATTTAAGTTATAAAATTAAAATAATTGACTTTATTGAAATAAAGATTTCTAAATAAAACTTTACTTCTCAACCAATGAAAAAAAAATGAAGAGAAATTATGTTAATGAAAAATTAATACATATTTTTATTTTTGAAACGTAATCTTCCTGTTGAAGATGACACAATATATTATATTTATTTTAAGATCTAATTTTTCTCATTTGTTAGACAAAAAAAAATTAGTTGTAATAAAACATTAAAATTAAAAATTAATTTAAAAAGATTAAAAAAAAAAATAAAGTTTGTTTTCAGGAAGTTAATATTCATATTGTTTATTTATATTAATTTTTTTATTCATGCTCACATGTAACTTTATTTTAGTTTTAAAACATGTTTTCCATCTATTATATTTTCATATTCTATTTTAATTGTGATATAGAAAGGCACCTTGAAAGGAATTCTAGAATTATCATGGTTTGTAAAATTAGAACTTATGAATAGAGTTAATGTCCCCCTTATTTGACCAGTCCTTCACTTTGATAGACGTTTCTCGGCGTGCAGTGGAAGGAATTGAGTTGGACCGGTGGGTTCGTGTTGGTGTTGTTTTGCAGGCGCCGCCTCCGCCGCCGCCGAAGCCGACGTGCGAGCAGGTGTCGACGGTGTGCAGGGCGTCGAGCCTGCTGTCGGCCGACGGGACGACGCGCCGCTCGGTCACCTTCCACTCGGACTCGGTGACCTACACGCCGCCCACGCCGGTCAATCCGGGCCCCCTGCAGCCCGCCACTTACATTCCCTACCAGCAGGCGACCTACGCGCCAGAAAACTGCCCGCACGACAACGACCCGCGAACCTGTATTTGTAGTTTGCATGCCCAGGCCACGGTAAGGGTGCGCACCCCCGACGCACTCTCTCTCTGTCTCTCAGATATGCACCCTCACTAAACTCTCACGCTAATTTTTTTATTTCATTTCTGATGCTATTTTTCTGTATTTGTTGGTTGGGTTATTTGGAAAAAGATTGGCCCTGTTTTAATTTTTATTTTTAAGTGGACGTATGTTTTATGAATTTATTGTTGCTGTCGACTTCCTTCACACGCACCGGCCGGTACGTTGGACTCTTAAAATTTTCACGAACTCGCCGGCTGTTTTTATTAAGGAGTGTGTTCATGTCATAAAAATATGGATTTGCCCATGTCATAATTATATGATTATTTTCCTTGTGCTGCGGCATGAAAATTAAAAGCTGCGCGTTTTATTATTATCGCACTGCGAAATTCTCACTAGCACTTTCGAGATTAGCTGTTTTATTTCTCACTCACGTTTTCTTCCTGATTTTGGCTTCAGTTTGTCATTAATGAAATAAATGTGTGAAATCATCACAGTCTAGAAATCAAGATTTCTTCAAAGCACATAAAACAAATTTTGAAATTTAAAGACTAATTAGTATTCAATTAACGTTTAAAACTTATTATTTTTCTTGATTCATCTTTTTGTAATTTTTAAAAAGCAAATTTCTGTTCTTCGATCGCGTTGAAATTTTATTCAGTTTACTTATTTAGGCCAAGGAAAAATTATTCTCTTACCGTTTTGATGTTCACATTAATTTACATCAAAATTGATCATCTCTCTCACCTTCCAACAGCTCCACCTCAAATTTCACCAATTAACTGCTGCTCTTTGATTTCAGTGCACTGTGTACACGCCTAAAAATTTTGCTGAATTTCGTGGACATTTCCGTTTTCAATGTCACGAAATAAATGTGTTTTATTATGATTTCGTCGCACTAATTGCACCGAATGGTTGATCAAAGTGTTGTATTGAGCACTAATTACTGAAACAGCTTTTCCGATCCTCACACTAGTTATGCCCTGTTTCAGTTTGAGGAAAGTACGGACACTGTTTTGATGGTGCGAGGCCTCCAAAGAGTGCCGGGTCTGCTGTCCAGAGAACTGATCGACGCGCTGGAGAACAGATTGGGGCCCACGTTGATGCGGCAGTCCATCAGAGGCATTTGTCTGCACCAAGCGAGACCATCAGCTACTGTAGTGGCGGTAATATAAAATAATTTAATCACAAATTTTTTATAATGTAATATAATTTTTTATATTAATAAATTGTGTATATACGTTGTTTTTAATTGGAAATCCTTATTAATTTTTATATTCTTATATTTAGAATTTTTACAGTAAACTATTTTTCAAATTTTACAAGACAATTAAGGAATATTTTATTTTAATTACTTTTTCTTACTGTTCTGAAATAAATATTTTATCGTGATCAGTCAACAAAATTCACAATGTTTAATTGTAAGAGAAACTTAACTTGTAATAGGGCAAATGACATGTGTATATAATTTAATTTTTATACAATGCATCATAATATAGAGCTTTAAAAAGAGACTCTTGAAACCTAATTTCAAAGCACCTTGTTGCCTTGTGTTCTTCTTTATAAATCCTCACGCACGCCTCGTTTTTCCTCCTTGTCTCGCAAAATAACGGCCGAAAATCGCAATTCCCCACAAAGCCGCCGAGCGTGTAGAAAAATCTGCAGCCAGGGCCATGATTCAATTTGCCGGGCCATAAATAAAGCGGGTCCGAAATTCTGGTTTGTTCCCAGGCGAGCGTCACCGTGATGAGGAAAGATGTTGCCCTGCGACTGCTGCTCACGGGCCTGGAGATTCGGGGCGAGATGCTGCAGTTGGAGGAGGAAAACGCTCTGTGCCCGACCAAGTGGAGGTCTCCGGACGACACCCCAGAGAACAGCCACGTGCTGCTAGTATCTGGGGTGACGCACCAGGTAAATAAAAAATAAATCTCCAGCAGACAAATAAATAATAACTCCAAGCGGGCTAATCCGAATCTCGGGTGCGGAAAAAAAATGCGAAAATAAATTTTTTTAGACAGGGCTGAATTTTGGTTGCCCGCTTGCAGGTGAGTGACGGCGCCGTGCGCACTGCCGTGATGCGAGCGTGCGGCCTCAGGGCCACTCAGGTGCGCAGACACGTGTACAAGGGCGTGGACACCGGCGAGAGATTGGTGCGCGTGGCGCCTCCTTGCATGTCCTACGCGCGCCTCCAGGCCGCCGCCGGAAGCTCAGGAACCATCATTACCGAGGCCGTGGCCGATTGCAGTGTTGTAAGGGGCCGCTTTACTTTCCGTTTTAATCTTCAATTTTTTTTTTTAATAATTTGAATTAATCAATCACATGCGCTGCCGCTTGTTTCTCTCACCCCGACTCACCTTATGCGTTTGGTTTGTTTCATTTGCCGCCGGATTTTGTTCGCCAGACTAATTTTCCCTGTATAAATATGTGACGTGTTATGGAAAAGGATTTTGTCGTCCTCGTATGTAAAGTGGCACCGTTTTTTTCTATTCAAAGTTTGGGATGTTTGAGTATTTATTTCAATATCACTAATTACTGCAATACTATAGAAAGAAATATGTTTCTACGCACATGTATTGAATTTGGTTATTGTGATTTTATTTATTGTATTTTTGAAAGTGAATGCATAGGAAAAAATGAAAAGGAACAATTGTGAAAGTAATTGAAAATAATGATCTGACTTTTTATTTAAAAGCATAAATTTTTTCCGATTAAAATTTCGTAAATGAGCATTTTTGTTAGACTTTTAACGAATTTTTTACTCCTAGATCTCTATCAAAATTAATTTTTGAATTCATGTTCTGAAAACAATATCTCACGGTTGTCTTATTTACAATAAGAACAGGTTCGATTTCTCAATCGATAATTTGAAATTTTTGCCTTTAAATAAAAGATTCCTTTTCAAAGCTTCTGTTGCACTTTGATAGTCCTGTGTATTGTACCGTAATAACTAAATTTCAACGCGATTTCTAAATATAATAGTCGTGTTTTCAATTTTGTCCATTTTGATTAATTTCAGAATAGCGGCAGTGATTCCGAGTCTAAGTACCGGACACACCTGAGCGTCCAACTGAGGCGACCCGCAACCGGCAGTCCCACCGTAGACTGCGTGACTGAACAGAGGACCATCCGCTCAGCTTCACCCATGAGGCCTGTTTCCCTCACGGTAATTTTTTAATGAACAAGGCCTGATTTTGAAGATTTTGGGCCTATTATGTCTTGCACACATTTTTTTTTTTATTTTTTTTTTTTTTTTTACTGTTTATTCTATTTTTTGATGGATTTTCTTATTTATTTGATTTGCTTACACAGGATTCTGCAAACCAAGTGCTGCTAGACGAAGGAACTGAGGTGGTCAGAATTGAGACTGTAGGAAGCAAAAACCAGGCGACGCCTCCTACAAGACGTCTGTCAAGGAGTGGCTCTCAGGTGAAATTATTAGGCGACTATTATATCTTCCGAATTAAATTTCCAGATTCGTTTTTTTCCATGTAAATTTTAATAAAATTCAAGTCAATTTAAAAATCCGACGATAAAGAATTATTCCAGTATTTATGATTGCATAGTGAACAGACAAAATTTAAGTTTATTTCAGGATAATAATTTATAAAATATAAAAAATATAGGTACATTGCTAAAATTTATTTAAAAATTTTTGTTTTATGAAATTAAATATAATTTTTTAAAAACAATTTCAAATAATAATATCAATAATATAAATAAATTATTTATTTATTTATTTACATGTTAATATATAATAAATAATTAAATTTTAAAATGAACAAAAACAATGTTTTTTTTTAGATTTTTAAAATAAAAAAATCTTAATTAATTAATTTTATTTTATCTAGCTTTTCAACTCATTATTTCTTTTACTAGGGAGTTAGAGTCCTACCACCTACGTGCAACGGCAACCTTGCACCACCCCCGTACACACCGCCCCCAAATCACGTCAGGCCTCCGAGCAACCCCCCGCCGCCGCCTCCACCATTGATTCCTACGAGAAAAGCGCCCGCGCCTCAGCCAAAACCAACAATAGGTACGTGCCAAAAAAACATGAACTGTAAAAAAGTTTGACAATTATCGTGTTTTGAAAATGCTTTTCATCCCCCTATCTTTATATCTTTCTCTTCATCCCCTACCCCTGAAAGAAGTGTTTTTCATGATCTGTGTAACAAAAAAGAAACGACTTTTGGACAAACATTTAGCTCTGAAACCCTTTTGTACAAAATGGACATTTTACTGTGGTGAAAAAGCTAAAGCAAGTGTGTGTGTTTATTCTTGGTGCGGCAGCCCCAAAACCTGCTGTTTCTTGTGAGTATGCAACCAGGCCACCTTGTGCTCTGCTCACAAGGTTGCATACTAACAAACTGACCAGGAATACCAGTGGAGGTTTTGATGCAGCTTTGATTTTGAAAGGTATAGCTACCCACATCTGCAAACTCGTAGCCGAGTCTCTCTGCACCACACACTTTATTAATTTTTGACATCAAAGCATTTTTGCCATCTACCAATCCTCTTTCGAACTCTCCGTATTTTATGTTTAGCTTCTTCTTCTCTTCTTCTTGATGGTCGATTTTATATAATATGAAATGGTTTTGGTCACTCACTCCACTCTTCTTCAAATTCTCGGTTTGCTTAGATGCAATGAGAAGATGCGATTTGATATTTTAAAAAAGAAATCGCAGGCAGAGCATGCGAATGTTTCAGTTACACACCAGCACCAAAAAACTTGTGTTGCAGTTCATCGACACTCACTCACATTTTTCCACTTAATTATTCCTAAATTTATCCTATTGTGTCTCTGGAAGGTATTTTTTCTTGTTTTATTTCTTTATTAATTTTTTCATTCGTTTTTAGCAATCGAAGCGGCCGTGGTTGCGAGTACAAACAGTAGTGCGGCCAGAGAGGCCATCAGGGAGGAAAACGCGGTCAAAGGTCAACTGAGGAAGAGCCAAGAGGATTCCGGCTCGAGCGCCGCTACCAGCCCCACCAGCAACAAGACTGCCAACAAGAAGCCCAACCAGAATGGCGGCATCTTACGGAGAGGGACTTCCAAAGAAGGCGAACCCCAGGTATGTACCTTTTTAATTAATTAATTTTATTTTTCAAATTTAAATAAACGAAATCCTGGAATCTAAAATTAAATTCTGGTGCTTGATTTTTAGAAGGCTCTGTTAGAGCCGTCATTGTGGGAATTTTGCGTTTTTCCACATTTGAGTTCATGTAAGTTGCCTCATTTTCGGAAATGCCAAATTCTGTTCTTGGACTTCACCACTTGTGAGGTGCAAAATTTGCTTTTTTTGCTGATTTGAGTTCTATATTTCTGATCCAGACACTTTTTTTCATCATTTGTACCTCGAGTAAAACAAACAAACAAAAAACAAAAGTGTGAAATCACCTTCCATTTCTGAGAACCTTTTTTTGTGTTTGTAATCCTCTCGTGAGCCTTCTAAAAGTACATAATACGAATAATCTCACCTCGCATGCCTCAAGCACACACTCATGCTCTCTATAGCGTTTCCTGCTATGACTTCTCTGTGCACCACAAATAGAGAGAGAGGTAGTGTGATTTAAAACGGCGTCCACAACAAACTTGTTTATTACTTTTTTGTTTGCTTGTGACAATTATTTTGTGTTCAAAAAGGCACTCACTTAAGAATTCATCAGTTAGTTTGGAAGAGTCTAAAGTAATGGTTTCATTTCAAGAAAAACTTACTCTGATGCAAAATGTAATTCTTTTTGTTTGAGATTATTCATGGGATGTGTAGGCAAAAAATTATCATCAAATTAATTTTTAATGACTAGTTTAAAAACAGTCGGACGCTCCATACATAAATTAAGTCAAAATTTAATTGGTATCATTTATATTTTAAAGTAAATAATTAAATAACATATTATTTGGCAAATATTGAAATGCATTGAAGAAAAATATCAAAATTTATTTTCTTTGTATTGCTCACTATTAAATAAATAGGCCAGACACAATTTTATTTAAACATATTATCTTTAATTTAACTTGATTACAAAGCATTGGATTTTATCAGATTTAACTCACATTGAAATAAAGCATTTATTTATTTTTTACAAAATAATATATTTAATAAATGACATTTTTTCTAATTTAATTCTAACTTCATTAAGTAAAAGTATTTTATGAAATAAACTCAAATAAAATAAGAAACAATCAAGCTAGGTTGTTTCTAAATAATGTAATCTCTGTTGAAAATTCTTAAATTTTGCAATTCAAAATAGAAAATATACATTATGCATCAGCAGCTGCACACAATGTTCAGCCAGGGCCTTTACAAAATCAGTAACAATTTTCACAAATCGTTGAGTAAAATTAATAACGTGTTGCCATTGAATTTTTCGCAGCCTAACAATAAAGCGAAGGCGATGAAGAGCCGCAGCGTGTCGGTGGAATCGGGGGCGCGCACCTCGGCGCCGCAGCGACGCAAGAACGGCGTGTTTGAGCGTCCGAACAGTGAGGACCTGCTGCTGGACGGCCGCAGCAGCATCAGCAGCCGCGAGGGCAGCGGCAGCAACCGCATGGTGATTCCGCCGTCCAGCGGCAGCCTGCCGTGGTGCGCGTGCTGGGGCAACGGGTGTCTCTAGGGTTGGGCGTTCGCGCCAGATCCAGGCGAAGGACTTGGCGTCGACGAAGAAAATATCATCGACAAAATAGAAATTAATTTTGTAAACGACGAGGATTACGACTTGGAGCAGCTCGGCCCCGACGAGCTCGACAAATTGAAAACTAAGTTTTACTTTGAGATCCAAATCTAAATGAGAGCACCGAAAGGAAAATGCAGATTATTTGTATGAGAGATAAAAACTTGAGATATGCACGCAAAAATACATCACAAAACGCACAAGACTTTGCACTTATATTAGGGGAAAAAGCTTGAAAATTTGCAGAGAGGGATTCATTAAATCCAAAAATGTATTTAAATTATAATTAGAAAGGAGCATAATAAGTAAGTCAAGGGTATCATAATGAACTAGTAATTTTTTCATGTTACCGGTACCTAAATAAGTTATGCTGGCCAATTTGAGTTTTTATTGTATTTGCAACAAAATTTTGTTTATCTTGCTTAAAAAAATTTTGATTGGAAAAATTCCTACTTTCTTCCGGAAAATTAATTTCTAGTCAATAAATATTTTTTTTTAATCAATGAAATTGATCCCTCTCTGCTATATAGATCATATTTAATTCACTATATAAGTTGTCTTATTCTTGCACCTCTCTCTTCGAGCTCCTTCTCACTTTTCTAAAAAGCACCAAGTCAATTTCTCGATTGCGTCCAGGAGGAATTTCACTGCTGCCCGCTTCCCTTGTTTTGATTTCGTAGATAATATAATTTATTATAATTATTATATCGCTACTTTTGCTAATCTGTCATTTATTTGTGTTCCTGTGACTACACTTTTTCCATTCCCACGCGGACTTTATATATATTTACAGCGGCAACAATGTGAAGCTTATCTGCTTTTTGTACACATGAATGCGCCTTAATTAAGGAATTCTGTTTCAATTTACTATTCATGTAGGCACTGGGTGGCGAGAAAAGTGCAATTTTCTGCCTCCGAGTGCTGAGACGATCAGTGAGCGGCTACATAGTGTCTTAATTAATTGTTTCTCCTCACACTACGCAACAATAATAAAGTGCACCTTACAGCGAGTGAAAAATTTGGAAACTTATCGTTGTTGGATTATTATATAAATAAACTGTACGAATCGAAAGATGAGAAAAATAATGCTTCCGGAAAATAGAGGCTCAATTTAACTTGCAATAAAATAGCTCACACTGGAAATCAGTAGGCCTAATCAAAAGTTTGGATGTGTGTAATGAGATGATTTTACATCGGTTTTTGTACAGCCAGTTTTCAATTTGAATTCAATAAATTTCCTTTAAGAAAATGTAAATGTTGTCAACGGCCGGCACTGTTGATTTTGCGGCACAAAAATTAATTTGAAGACGAAAAATTGTATATCTCTCGTTGTTAAAACGATTATTGGAATAGCCTGTAGGTGTAAAAAAGAAAAAAATAATAGTGAGTGATACAAAATTGCTACACCAAACATTTACCACCACCCAGATTTGCATTTTGCACTGTTGCTAGGAAAACATACATATTTGCGATCACATACACACATATTCAAGGGTGAGAGATGCAAAGAGGCGCGCGGACGAATTTTAACCAGTGAATTTTATCTGTGGTTGAAACTGCAAGTTTTTACTGTGTACATATTACGAAATGAATCGGTTGTAAGGAAGCGATAAGTTAAAAGTAATTAAAACTTGTTAAATTATATTCGCTGTTGTTTTATTTTCCATGTATTTATAACAATTTCTTTATACCCATAAGCAGCAGCAAACAAATAAAAGAAATCTGAATTATGCAAGAGACAGTTTCCTGCTCAAATCAACCAGAAACAATTGTTAGAAATTGCGTTTGATAAATTACAAGCAAAATTTGGAATCTTAACACGTAATTTTTTTATTCTGCATTTTTTGTTTTCATTTCTACATTTAAAAGAAAAGAAACTGCCGTCTGATTTGCATAAAATAAATTAGATAAATAAATTATGTAGTTTTTGGCTTGATTTAACATTACTGGAATATTTTTATCTTTTCCTTTATAATAATATGTCAGCTTCATGACTTTGTTTTGCAGTCAATGGGCAACAGCTATTAATAGTGATATGGAATATTTTAAAGCTCACTAGTAAAATAATAATTTTCTACAAGGAAAAATATCACGCAGTAGGATTGGGCTCAGTGGCCCTCATCACAGTGACAGTCAAGTTGTTCCTCTGCTGGATGAGCAGCTCGTTGGAATTTGTTCCAAGCATGTGAATGAACGAAGGTCTTTTGCCGTCAGGGTCCAGCCTGGTGGCCAATTCTGCCACTCTGTAAATTCCTCCGGAGCTCAGTGGAGAACAGGAACCTTTAGCTTCAACGCAGAGTCCCTTTTCGTCGGTGAACATCACCCCTTTGACATTGGGGTACTGCAACACTTCTTCCATCAGCCTGGTCAGTTCGGTCTCCATCTCAAAAAAGATCTGAAAATAATTCAAAATAGTTATGAAAATAAATAATAATATATACCTGAATGTTAAAAAACAAAGTAATTAATTATTATTCAATTCAATTAGTATTATTATTCATGCAATTTGAAATTATTAATAATGAGTAATAATATGAGCATAATTATATATTTCAAATTACATGGAAAAATTTTTGCAATTTAATCAAAACCAAAACTATAAAAAATGTGAATTGATGTGAATATTTGCTTTGATAACAGGATGTAAATATTAAGTCACGAGATCATGAATCATTAATAAATGAGACGAGAATTTTAATAAAAAAATATGAACATAAAATTGAGCTCAAATTCACCACTGTAGCGTGTAAAAAGCAATTTTAATTCAAAGTATTGCTTTTGGTTTAAACGTTTCTTGACTTTTTTTCGCACTTATTGATCCGAAAACAATCAAATCTCACCTTTTAACAATAAAAAATGAGTATTCTGTCAATTTCCAGTCGGTCCTGTCACTTTCGCTGTGTTTAGTGTTTACCACTCGTTCAGTTGGTATCCCTGCGCGATCATATGACTCCTCACAAAACAACAAGCCTAAAATCCGAATTAATTGTCAAGAGGGTAAAAATAACCAAATTAGGCCGCCGCGGGCCCGGTTCACTGACGTCTTACGTTTGAATTGACAATATTTAGTCCACGTCTGCGTTCAGATGGAATCTTTCGAGTGGAAAAGCGAAGAGAAGCAGCTGAAATGAGCTATTACAAAGAGGTTGCTTATATTTATGTACTTGCTTTTTTAGTGGAACACAAATATATTTTTCTTTGTTTGAATTTTCTTACATGTTCAAAACTTTATAATGTTACGAATTTAATCAATTGATTTTTACTTAGGAGCTGAACAATGCACCCCCCTTACCGCTGGAGCCTCTTCCTAAGGGAGGCGAAGATGACCGCCGGCTGTGGATTGGCAACTTGGACTCGAGGGTCACCGAGTAGGTGTCTTTTTAAATTACAAAATTACATTATGATAATTATATAATATTAGTCTAGAAGTAATTATATTACATAATAATAGTCTTATTCTTAGAGTGATTAAAAATTCAAACTTGTGGAGAATATGACAAAAAGTGCTAATAATTTTTTTCTCTGTTACTGGTTTACTTTACTGAAACTGCTGCAATCCCATGGTGCCATTGATAAGTTTGACCTGTTGTTCCACCGTATTGGTCCCCTGGCTGGCCAGCCAAGAGGCTACGCATTCGTCACCTACAAGACTGCCTCGAGCGCTAGCAATGCCATGAAAAATTTGCACGGCAAACGGATCGGGACCAAAAACATCAACGTTCGACTTGCCACAAGTGTTCCTAAAGTATGTTGTCTTTGTCACAACTGAACCTTAAATTGAAATGATTAACCAAAATTTAACACTTTTTAGGAAGATCTTGAGAGACAAAAGCCAGAAATTAATATTCCAGCACTGGCCGGAGCAAAAAAATCTGGCTTGACTAATGCAAGGTAAAAATTATATTAAACTTGAAGGTTCTGAAATGCTTGATATTTATCAAGATGTTTTTGCACAAAATTTATCCACCAAACACATCTTTTGCTTATTTAATGCAATTTATGCTAAAAACAAGAAGTGAAAAATTAAAATAAAAGGGATTTTTTTATTTTATTTACAAAAAGCCAGAGGCATGCCAATATCTTAAATCTAAAAATAGAAAATACAAAGGAATTTTTTTCTTCTTTATCCTACTGGATAAATTCGTCCCTTAAACTCATATTCTTTACTAAACAATTTTTAATATGGCACTTTGCTACATTTTTCTCCGCAGAATTTTCAAATACAATCATCTCCTTCATCAGCTTGAATTCCTCTTTATTATCTGTTCTTAGATTTAAGGTATTTGCACGCCTTTGGCGCTTAATCGAATAAATCCATAAAAAATGAATTTTTCTTAATAAAAATTTAAAATGACTTATTACAAATAATTTTTAATTCCTTTTATGAAATGATAAAAATGTATTCAATAATTTATTGTGGTTGTTTTTCAGCTCCATGACAAAAATCCAAGAGATCGAGGCCCAACTGCAGAGAATGCAAAATTCTTCCGATGACTTCAACCTGACTGCCACAGCTTCGGTAGCAAACGCTGCCCCCGCAGGTCCCCTGGTTGTGCCAGGCATGGTGCTCTACAAGCAGCAGCCGCAGCACAGAGAGAAAACGGCGCCTTACAGCAAAAATGATCGGAGGCACCACAGACACCGAAGATAACTTTCAAGGGGAGAACCCGTATGTAACTAACTGAAACGAGAATCTCTGTTTTTAGAAAACTGCTCTGTAATTTATGATCTAGTATTATTTTTGTGCAACGACTTATTATGAGAATACTCTATTGGTATTGAATAAATACACTTGAGCTGCGGCTGTCTGAATCGAAGCCACCTGCAGTTTGATCAAATGTTATCCTTGTGGTAATAATTATAATTCGTAATTAACCATTGCCAACTAATGAGAGGTATACTTATAAAATTTTGCAATAACTGAGAAGTGACAATATTACGAGATTATTATTAAAAGATGATTCTCAGCTGGCAGGAAATATGTTTATAGTTGGCTTTAATGTAATGCAATTATTGGTTAGGCGCAGTTACCCAGTTTATCATAAAAAAAGCCAAACAATGAAAGCAAGTACGACTGGTAATGCACTGCTGTGATAAAAGTTGTTGCCATCGAGCAGAAGATGCGTGGGATCTGTTTCTTTCTCACTCGACCGTTGAGACACAATTTTCCTCTTTCTCTCCGTCGCGCACGATTATTATTTGCGTTTTATTTTATCTTTTGTTGAGCAGCCGTGAGTCACTCCTGCAACGGCCACTTTTCTCGTCTGCTGTTTGTTCACCTTGCCTCTCGAATAAGATGAAGTGCGCGTCTCTTTTTCTTTTCTCTCGACACTCGATTGTCTGCTGATTGACGACCGACCGCTTTTCCCAAAGCCATAATCGGCGGTTGGACAGTTAGTTTTGCTAATTTCGCAACTGGTTCAGAGTGATCTGCGGTATGGAAAATCAATCCTAGGCTGTGTGGCATTAGTGGCGCAAAGAACGCATCTAATTACAATAACCAGACTTACCAGACTCACTCAGAATAGCTAATTTGAATGAATCTTAGATATCCGTGTGTATCATGAGTGCATGATTTAGATTTTTTCCAATTAAAATTTTTGTTAACTGATTATGATAAATTATTAAAATTATAAATCAGAGGTTATTTAAAAACAAAATAAATTCAAATAATGGAAATGTAATATCAGAGTAATTTTGTATTTTTCACTGGCTAAAAAAATTAAATTGCTCAATTTTGCAATTTTTCAGTTATGTATCTGCTAAGCTGTTCGCAACAAGCGGCCTTTTTGTATATTTCCATATTTTAGCATTGGGAATTAATGAGACTGATATGAACGTACGCTAGGAGGTTTTAAAAGCGAAATTAATTGCGCGCATCGAGTGTTTGGCCGTAAAACGTTTGCAAGTGGTGAGCAAAAAGGCAGCCGCCGAGGCGATCCGTCAGACTCGGTGCGATAATTTTGCGCAATTTTTACTGCTCGGTGTGTGTTGCTAACTAATGAGAAAGAAGCGCGCAATACGGAGACTTACAATTATAACACCGACCCACTGCATGCACTGCCGACTTCCTTGAGCAAAACGAGTGGCTCTCTTGAATTGCATTTTGGTGCAAATAATTGCATTGATTTTTCAAGAAATTGTCCGTCTGCTCATTTTGCGCAGTTCAGACAAATCTAAATTATTATTATTTAATTTATGAAAAAGAAACATCTGAGAATCGTGTATTGACTTTTAGTATGGGCGCGGAAGAAACGTTGCGTGTTTAGGGGCAGGACAAATTATTATTAAAATAATTGCTTTGGCGTGGTGCTCTTTTTCCAATACTAATGCATGCACGGCGGTTCGGCGACTGAGGTCGTTCACCTTCGTCACACTTTGCCCCTGTTTTTATTGCACACGTCCTATATCCGCGCACACAGGACCTGAGAGAGCAGCCAGTTGAGCAGAGGTTTATTATTATACACGCATGCACGCTAAATTAGAGAGAGGCCCTGAAAGTCTGATTCATTGTCGTCAGTGGTCATTATATTCACACAAGCACAGATGGCAAAATGGTAACAAGCAAAAGGACGGGAAAAAATATAACCTCGATTGAAAAAGATGCGAAATTAAAAATTATCAAATAAATAAAAATTTTAAAAATCTAGTTTGCAAAGAGTTAATTGACTTACGGCATCATTCAAATGTGAAAAAGGTAAAAAATTAAATTTTAAAATTTCTGTCTATAAAAAGTTAAAATTAATTTTCTGAAATGAAAACTCTTCTTACAATTTCATATTAAGTTCATATTAATTAATTGTCACTCAACAGTTATTTTATGATTACAAATTTTGTGAAGATTTTAGAGATTTATTTGGTTTGTGGTTATATAGATTATTTTATAAATCGAATTGCGTCTTTGTAAATAAAAACAACCTTGATTTAAAGAAAAAAAACTGACAAGATGCAAATGAGTGTGTAGGACAGAATACTTCACACGTTTTTCTTTTTAATTGGATCAACATAATTTTTCACATTTTATTGACGCACCTCGTTTGACTATGCAAATGCTAATGATCTGCGCATAGTAACGAGACGATGGTTATTATTTCTCTATCGTTGTTGTCAAACTCTCGGCGGCGTGCAACTGGGAAGTGCAGATAAAAATTTATTGTATATATGTCCGCGTGCGAACACTCGTTACTTGGCGGCGCACATATTTTAATAAATATAAGGCTTACTTACAAAAGCAGTTCTTTCCTTATTTAGCGAGTGGACCGACCTACACTTTTCTCTGTGGCTTCAACCGTCGTCTTCAAGACTCAGGTTGCAACGGCCGCGCGCGACTCAACCGATCTTTGCAACCCACACAACAACGCATTCCTTTGAAACGGTCCTACCGGTGAATTTTAACGGTCAAATTATAATGAATAATGACTTATGGTTCCACCCCAAAATATAATATATAGAGGACAATTTGCAATAAATTTCTGAAAATTATATTAGTTACAATTAGTAAAATTTAGTTAAAATAAGAGAGAAAGAAGGGTTGCATGAAATAGCAGCTTTCATGAAAATTAGATAAACTTTATTTTTTTAATTTCTTTGGAGGCATAAATTACAATTATCTAACAGATCTAAATTATTTTTTCTTTATAATATAATTCTATATTTTTTTAGTAGAGGTCAGTTGCGTGTACTTAGTTTTAATAAGGAGAGTTTAAATTATAATTACTATCTCTTGCAAGGCTTGTATAATTTTTGTCACGAAATTTTATCACTTTGTTTATTTTTCAATGTAGTACATGTGTATGTGATAAAGGTGGAGATAAGAAAAATAATATAGAAAAAGTATGATGAAATTATTGAAGAAGTAAATTTCATTATACATTGTTAATCTGATGCCCTTGAAAAATGTGACAGAGTTGGAATTAGAAATTTGTCCCAAAGTCCTAGATCTGGTTGAGAATAATTTTTAGACGTCGTTGAAATAATGTGTAAAAAACTTATAAAATCCTAAGAACTATTTTTTCAAATTTCTATAATTAATATAATAATTTAAAAATGTTAGCTGAAAACAACTTCGTTTAGTGTAAAATGAAAATATTAAACACGTCATTATTGCAATTATTTAAGGGAAAATCCATTGTCCTCTACTTAAAATGGAACTTTCCATGGCTGGGTGCAGATGAGTGTATGACATTGACATGCATAAGGAATCAGCGAACTTGTCAAAAGTTTCAAAGTCTTGTTAGTTTTCGCGGCATCAACCTCCCGTCGAGACGGAGTAAAGATCGCTGTGATTGGTCGGGTGCCTTCGGTGGCCGGACCGAGGCAGCGCGAAAGGGGACGAGCGAGGAGATATAAACAAGAGGAAAGCGAGGGAAAGCACCAAACACCACAAGCAGACTCTGCGACGTAAAAAGCTTTTTCCTGCCCATTGTTGCACTCAGCCGATTGTTGGCCACACATTCGAATTCCAACTCGACTTCAGGTGAGTTCTGCTCCAAATTTCTCTCCTTCTTCGTCCCTTTTCTGTCATGCCTGCGCGAAAATTCGCGTTTAGAACTCGCTTCTTTTCTCACAGGGGGTTGTTTTGCTCCCGTTTTCACTTTCATTTTGAATTCGCACCTAGGCGTGGGGTTGAAGAATCCTCCGCGAAATTCGCACTCCAAATTCCGCCGCATTTTGAATCTCACCGTTTAAATTTGTATTCGCCAGAATTTTTGTTTTCAAGCTTATCAGCATGGCTTTTTATTCCCGCATAGCAACAGGGGGTTGATTTTTTTTCATCGCAGAATGTTGCATTTTTTTTTATCCGGGAACGTTGACATGCTCGGCAGACTCTTGTAATTGCGATTGCCTTGCCACTTCCTGACGCTTCAATTCGGCACTAAAAGGCGGCTCATTATTTCGAATTGCGAAACGGCTGTTGATTTTTTTACTCACTTTGACTTTTACGGGTCACGAAAGCTCTTAAAGACGAGCTCGCGAATGTTGGCTTCAAATTATCCTACCTAGCCAGTTTTTCTTGTATCTTTTGAAGCTCACCACGGCGTGAATGCCAAAATGTTTCTTTTTTCCCATTTTCAGTTAACAAACATGATAATCTTTTCAAGTTTTTATTAATTATTAAGCTCGCTTATTGTGAAATAAAGATGTTCATGAAAATATTTTTTCATTTTCTTTAATATTATTTGTTGTTTATTTGTCGATATTTGTAACAATGTGGACAAATAAACAACAGTAATAATGATTTAAAAAAAAATGAGATTAAATCATAAGAATTTAATTTTACTTTTAAAATTATTATTGTTTCCTTTGTTTACTTTTTTTAATATCCCTTGGTTTACTGAAACTAAGAAATTTTGGAGTAAAGACTGTAATTTCAAATTCAGATCAACAACAAAAAGTAGCTTTTGAATGACATTAGCAGAAAATTTATTTTCATTAAACTAATTAAATTTTTGGAAAGTTGCAAAAATTTAATGTTAATTTAATGTAAAGGAAAAAACTGATGTTGCAGTATTTTCCAATATCATTCTAGTGTTTTTATACAAAAAAAATTATATTAAAAATTCACAATTGAAGATTTAGATTTTTGTGGCGCAATTTCTCAGCTCAAACTATTTTGGGTGCGCGTTTTTCGTCAGGACCAGTCACTAGTGGGGCGCGTGTCGCGATCGATTGCAACCCTCACCCTGGCCAGACGAGTTGCGTTTTTCGCTCTCACATACCAGAGACACAGGGCGGGGCACTGACCTTATCGAATATCCAGCTGCACGCGCCCAGCTGTCTCGCCAAAATAGAACTTCGACCGGCCAAACTGCCATGCGTATCGGCAAACAGCTGGCTTAAAAAATTTCCTTTCTAGTTGAGGGGAAAAATTCTGATTTTTTTGTTTGCAATAATAATATATTGATTAGATAAAAGTAATTTAAAACACAGTGAAAAAAAAATGTAATAATTGCAATTATAAATGGTATAAATTTTCTGCTCAAACCTTTTCTAATCTATTAAGAATTAACGAATAATACGTAGAAAAATACATAAGTCGTTAAAATATGCTCATATTTTTTTTGGTTTGGTTTAATGAAAGTTTGTTTAGTTCAAAAACTTATAAAATTACATAAATTTTATAGAAAATTAAAATCACGTTTGTGTAAGAAAAACTGTAAAAACATATTATGTTGATTATTCATCAAACTACAATTGCACATTTTGTTCCCTCTTGTTAATTATTATTAGGAAGATGTATTTTGCATTTTTTTTAATATCGTTAAAAACATGTTTAAAAAAAGACTTATAATGACCCAAAATATTGATCTGGAAATTTGGTATTTTCAAGAAGTTTGCTGCTATGGCATCAAGTGCGTCCAAATGCATCCCCTTTCAACTTCACAGCCCTTCTGAAAGCTAATTTGGCGTGGGGTGGATAATTTGTGTTCTCGATTTAGCCGTAAATAACACTTTGCGCGCAACAACAGCAGGGGGAAGGAATTAGAAAGGGTTTCGGCCTCGTGCCCATCCACAGCAACAACAAATGGGAAGGCGATTAGCGTTTTGCCTAATGAGATTTCTGCAGCGAGCGGAAACAAAAGTTTCACCTGTGACCCTCTGTCCGCAACAGATTATTCTGTGATTTTTGTCTATGAAAGAAAAGTTTCGCTTTTTCTTTAAATAAGAGGAAGTGTCGAGTTTATATCTCTGACGCGGCCAAACGGAAAATAAACTGAATTATTTAGACAACGAGCCGAACACGCGATTCATTTTTTTCGTCGCGCAGGCGGTTTTCGTTAAAATCAAACCTCCCAATTAATTTTTATTTTATGTCTTTTTTAGTTTTTTATCTGGTCGGACAAACCCGGAAAATGGGCAGTCTCCAGTAAGTTTCCCCAAACGCATGTTTTGTTGCTTGTAGTTTTTAGCTGAATTTGACAAAGAAATAATGTCTGGTTAATTAATTGCGTGCATCCTTGATCTGCATCAGTCTGTGTTTTCTTTTATGCTTGCGTAACAATTATAAATAAACTTAAAACAGTTAAAAAATTTAAAAGTTTCAATTCGGCTTTTCCCCGATGGGTTTATGTGAGTTGTTTTGTTGTTTAAGAAAGAAAAAATATCCTGCTCTACATATTTCGGCTGCAGCAATAATCCATGAGCTGTGAAATCATTTTGACAAGAATTATTACAAAAATCAATCTTTTGAAATTTTTTTCTTTTGAATAAAAATTTTTTTGTGAAAATTTATTCAAAGCTAAACTTGGTGTTAATTTGAAAATAGAAATATTTTAAAAGATTGATTTTCTTGTCAAAATTTCACAGCTCATGAACTACAGCCGAAACATGTAATAGAGCAGGATATTGCTTTTTTTTAAACAATTTAATAAACAACTCACAAAACCCATCGAGGAAAAGCCACTTTTAAAATTTAAAAATAATTTAGAAATAAGTTGTTTGGTTGTGATAAATTATATTTTAAAAAACTTTTTATTTTTTCCCAAAAATAAAAAATCATTTTATTTTGAATTGATCAAAGCTTATTTATGTAGACAAATATTCATTTTTTAAGATTTTTGAAGACTAAAGGTTTTGAAACCAAGAGTAAAACCTAATTGCTTTAAGTAAGATTTTTTTAAATTTTTTTTAATTAAATAAACAATTAGTGTTATTTTAACTTGAACTTCCCTTCCCTTTTGGCAGTATTTAATTACATCGTCTGATCGGAAGTGCGCGGGGGCGATCAGTTCCGCTTTTGTGCCAAGCGCATGCAAACCCACCCCTTAATAGTTTTAATTGGGATTGAATTTCTTTTGCCCCCGCTCTTGAATTGCGCGAGCGATATATAAATTGCAGAGCAGCTGGGCCGATCGTGGTTGCGGAGACGAAAGGGTCGTGCTCGGGACTCGAACCAGAGGCGTGGTCTGTCTGTACTCTTTAGGTGTAGTACAGCGGCAGTGCGACACACACAGCACAGTTTCAACCCTCGCCGTACAAATACACCCTCTTCTTAGCATCCGCGGGGCGCCGGCGAAACTCGATTTCTTCTTGCTGTATTAACAACCGCATCAGCGACTAAAGCCAAGCTCTTTTGCTTGCAGATCCCGAGCAGAGAACACGCCAGACACCATGCCTAGCCCGTCAGGTGAACGTAAGTACCCCAACACCCCCGGCCGCGGGGTGTTTTTTTTTTTTAATAGTCATTAATTCTTTTCTTACTATAGAAAAGGGGCAATATCTTCAAATATTATTTGTGTTTATAATATTTCAAAACTTCATAATTTAGTCGATAAAATTTGGTAATTCTATTTTCTAAACGGATAATAAAAATCCATCAGCAAATTAAAAACTACTCTTACAGTTTACTCAAGGTACTTTTAAAAATTTGATAGGAAAATTTATACTTACAGTTGGTAGGTTAAAACTTATTGCTAAATTATTTCACAATTCTCTTTTTAATTGAGCTCAAATAATTAATTATACATGAAATTTTTAAAATAAATTAGATGCATTTTTTTTTTTTCAAATTTTCACATCTAATAAATATTTTTTTTAAATAGATATTTGAAAAAAAAAAATTTGTGCTTTATTTTCATACTTTTTTTCAAATAAAATTTTTTTATATATTTTTGCCATCCGTTGCCAAAATAAAATTAATCATTCAATAGGTTTGAAATTTACTGATTCTTCTCTTATCATTTTTATTTTGTTAAAAAATTCAAAAATATTATATTCACAAGTCTCATATACACTCATTTATAATTTTCCTTTTTAAATTGTTAACGAAGATTGTATTTAAATAATCCTATAGTGCGATTTGCTAATGCTAATTATACTGTGAGTGGTATATCGATTGGGAGGTCAGACTGCTCAATCAGCGGCGCTCGCGTTTTTTTTTCTCCACGATTTGTTGCAAAGTCATAATTCGCATGCAGAACCGCCGGATTCATTATTCATTTTTCCGCCGCGCTTTGTCCGCTCTTGAACCCTTTCATTCGCAGAAAAACAAAATAATGTACTTTATTTGTCGGCATTTTTGATCGATGTTATATGCTGGCGCAGCTTTTATTGAAGTTTTCAGCGGAATTCAAACAGGAAGTGGAAAAGTTCATGAATTTTTTACCGTCTGCGGTTGCATGACTTGGTGATTTTGAAACAATTAAAACACGCGGTGAAACAAAAAGATAATAATTGCCGTTTTATACAAAACGAGTTTACTGAGCGATCTCTCCGACGGAGCGAAAATTCAGAAAGAAACCCGAGTATTGATGGAAAAGGGCCACTTTCTTCGTCAAGTGAAAAGTCGGCCTCTCATATTATAGTTTTTTGTCCTTTTTCCTCATACGCGGTTGTTTGTATCGATTTCCAGAAGTAGAAACACGTCAGATTGCAGCAACACGCGTCCACTTGTCCTTTTTACTCTTTTTACCTGCGACTCCTGTTTGCCAGGAAAACTAGATTAATGACAACCACATGCATTAAGCATTAAATATTTATATCCAAGCAGTATCAAATAAAATTATTGACTGATAATCAAGGAGTTTCAAATTAATTAATTTATATTGAATTTATATTTTTTATTTAATAGTTAAAACATGATTAATTTAAAAGCATGATTCCTTATCTTCAAGAAAATAAAATAATACTTTAAATCATAGAATGTGCAGTTTTTTTTATTGAAATATATAATTGTAATTAATATTTATTAATGTAATCATTTTAAATTATAATATTCAATTAAAAACATAACTTCACATTATCAATTCCATATTATTTGATATAATGGAAGTTAAACAATAACGTTTTAATTTTTTTCTCATTTAATAAAATTCAAAAGAATTAAATAAATTTAATTAAACTTCTTGATAATCAATCAATAAATTAATTAGAAATAAAATTAAACATTCAAATCCATATTGTCTTTATTTTTGTTTTCCAAAAGGAAAACTTTGATAGTATTCAATTAAAAGTCAATATTTTTAAATATAGACTAAGTGTAATTAGAAATTTTAACTGCGTGAAATTGTTGCTTTTATTTAATCTTGTAATTTTTTTATTTCGATGTGGTTCCTTTCGTGTTTAAAGTGGTTTTTGCACCGGCGTTTTGTCGGTGCTCATTGGCAGACACCCCTGAATCGACTGAGTCTGCACGTGCGGGTTTCTGGCGCCACTGCTGCCCTTCGTGTTGGTGCTCACCCTGTTATTTGGTCCGCTTAATTCACAAAACTGCCCCTAGGAGCCGTTAAGGTTCACTAGAATCGGATTAATTATTCTAAAAAATTAATTTTACAGATTTTTTTTATTGTATGCAATTTTGACACCAACGGTCCATGTTTATAAGAAAATTGTCAAATAATTTTGCCATATTGGGCTTCTTGACTAATAGGACTGTCAAAAGTTTTATACCCTCTCAGTCTTTATATTTCCGTGCTTTAAAGGTCCACGCCTTATACGGCCAAAATTCAATTCGCGTTGTTGTTACTTTTGCAGCAGACAATTGCGACGAAGCATTAACGCGCGACCTTACGTATCTCGTGAATTTTTAACACTCGATTCTTCCTATCTCTCTTTTTCTTATTTGGTCTGCTGGAGGCCGCGCTCGTCTTTATCCCCCTGCGTCGCTTCCTCTCTTCTGCGCAAGTTCGTTACGAGTCTCCTCTCCGAATATCTTACGAGAAAATTTGTCCTGGTCTATAAGTCCTCGGTAGTATAGTGGTCAGTATCCCCGCCTGTCACGCGGGAGACCGGGGTTCGATTCCCCGCCGGGGAGGCTTTTTTATTATTACCGTTTTATTTTTTGTCTTTGATATTACAGTAAACTTTTTACTAAATTATCAAACTAAATTCAAAGGTTTTGTCTTTTGATGTAAAATCAGGAAGATGTTTTCTTGCCAAATGGTGCATCACTGATGTTTGCCAGAACGGAAAGTCCGCAGTGATATTTGGCTAGACTGTCCATCCGCTTATCCTTGGACTTGGCAAAGCTCCAATTTGACAGCAATCGATAGAATAAATAATTAAATTGGATTGGATAATTTGTGTTTGTCATCAGGTGGGCCCTCCAGCCGCAGGACTCCTATGTTCTGTGGTAACCAAAGCACATAACGTCATGTATTGCTCCCTAATTTGGCTTATAAATATTATAAATGACTTTTTGGACAAATCATGTAGCTTAATTAAATATTTGATTCTTGTTAATTTTAAAAGTAAATATTATTTTATAATGCAAGCTTGATTTCTCTAAAATCCATCGTCTGCACATTTTTCTTAAAATTGAATCAGTAGAAAAATTTTTTTTAATGTTTTAACTAAACAAATACGAAATTTTAAATTTTAATATCTGAATGTAATTGAAAATTTAAAAACAAATGCCATTGTAACTCTTTTTTCTAGTTGAGAATTTTATTGAAGTTTATTTTAATTTACTTGCATGTCTAACTGAAGTCGATTCTGAACTTTCCCACAATACTGTGATTCTCCGTGTCATAACTCATTTCCCCTGTGCCACAATCGCAAGGTTACTTCGGGGGTTGCTTTTTGAGGGAATATCGATTCCAAGATGCAGAAGGGTGGGGCAAAGGGGATGCGGCGCTCGGCCGTGAGCAGCCCTTCGCCAGTCTGCTTCCTCTAGTCAGCCGGCACAGCACCATGATTGTCGAGCTGGTCAAACGGTCGGTCCTGCAGTGCTTCTGCCACTCCTGCCGAGCCCCCATCGCAGGTATCACTCCCTGTCGCGCCTCCCGCCCTTCCCCAGGGACACGTTGGGCGAAATTCAGCCGGCGCCGACACGTGCCATATTCAAAAATATGTGCACGGTCACGTAACGTCTGGCGATATTGATTGCAGCGCGATGCCAAAAATTGCTTTGCATTGTCCTTCGCGTCTCTTTGCCCAATTTTTTATTCATAGATATGCTCAGTTGTAAACAATGAGCATTAATTTGGGATTAAATAATGGAAAATGTTTAAGAAAAAAATAATACAGAAAGAAGCATAACCTAATGAATTAATATTTGAGGTTAAAATTTGCCTTTTTTTATTAAAATAAGTTTTAAATATACAATTATTACAAATATTCTAATCAATTGAAAGTAATGTCCTTATTTTTACAGTTTTTTCAATAAAGTTAGGTTTGACTTTCTAAGGAATTTTTTAATTGAATAAAAAATTGTTTAATTATTAAAATTATATTTTAAAATTTTATTGCATAATACAGAAAAAAAATTGAGTAGAATTTCATTTCTTAGTCTAATTATTTCTTGTGCAATCTGCGCTTTTTCTCAAGCTTAAGAGGCCTTGGAAGCAACTTCAACTTCTCTGCAGCTTGTGGAAAAAAGTTGTGAAACACGGGCTCTCTTGTTTGCACACGTCCTCAACTCACATTCTCGGCATCATCCCTTTCCCTCTTGAGATAAATTTGCAGCAACATAATTATAGGAGAACCGCCTTCTCGCCCGCCCCTGTGACCGGAATGCGAAATTTTTTGCCTAGATCGATTCAACCCCCTCATAGCTCTCATGCAGATTTGCTGTCCTGAATTAACTCGGGACCTGCCGGTGATAAAAATTGCTCGGGCAGGTGTTGCTATGGAGACGCAGGTCGTAAGGCCTGCTGCGTTTTGCTGTGTCTCGCGAAGGGTCTCGCTCGTGTTTTATGCACGGCCCGGGACATTTACGACCTCCGGTGTCCGTAGCCGCGACATTTATGTCTTTGAGAATTCTCCCTTAACAATAATTAATTCTCATTATGAAGTTCCTGATTTTGATTCTCTTTATAAATGATCCAGATTTATATGGGTGGAGAAAAATGGCTATTTCCAGAATTTTTTAATCTTAATTTTTGTATTCTTTTAAATTTTGCTAATACATTTTTTTTTCATTTCCTCTTGAATTAAATTTTTTTTTGCTGTCCATGTTTCCTTTGTTTTTCAAGCCGGTTTTAAATCTGCTCCCCAAAGATCACGGGCAGAAAAATAGAAGAAAAATCATTGTCTCCGTGCGAGGAAAGCGCAGTAAATAAAAGTCTGCGCGAGCTTGGCAGCAGCATCTGGCGTCTGCCTTCAGATGAAATTCGCGCGCCACGCCCTGTTTGTCTCCGACCGTCTGTCTGCCGCCCCTGAGCGAAAACGCGTCGCATCCCTTCATGTTTGGCATCTCTGGCAGGGCAAAACCGCGCTCTCTGCGCCGCTAAACGGCCTTTGTCATCGAGTAATTAGCACTCATTAGAGAGACGCCGTCGGCGCGATGAAAACCGCCGCCGAGCTCTGACTCGCAAAGCTCATACATTTTTGATGATCACCTCGCTGCCCTCTGTGTACCGACTAAACACGGTACCTGTGCACAGAGCGTTTGCAACATTCAACAGTTTGCTCTCTCCAGTTGCTCATTTCATTGCGACCAAAATAGAGGCGAACAGCTCGCAAATCTCGGAAGATTTAAATCATTAATTAAATTTCATCCCTGAACGTGGCAAATAGAAGTGACAGGACAATGCAATTGGATTAAGAAAGTGAAATAATTTAATAATTAATTTTTATATTTCATTGTAAATTTACTAAAAAGTTGAATCATTCAAACGTTATTTTTTGCTTTAATATGTAAATATTTAAAATCAGGAATTCAGTTTCAATAAATATGAAATATTTTTAATGAAAGGTTTTTTTAGTTAATACGGCTGCAGTGAAAAACGGTTAATTTTAAGAATTTCGCCCAATTAATTTCCCATACTCGCTCTTTTACAATCCATTGGCGATTATTGCTCTGCCCTCATCTCACGATTTTAAACCCAACCCCAAACAGGAGCTCGTCGAAATGCCCCTCAGAAGAAGCCGAAGACCGGCCGTGGAAGCGGCAACGGCGGCAAGAACAAGAAGGTCAAGTTTATCAGTAAGTTCCTCTGCTGACCTGCAGCGGATCGATTCAATCGGCGGGTTTCCCATTTAATTGTGAATTGGAATGAGGCGCCGCTGGTCTTTCGGCCGGCGGCGCCACGCGCGACATTGGCATGATCACTTGTAAAGTATTGACGGGCTTTTCCGAAAAGCGAGTCAAGGATGGGGTAGAAAGAGTAACGTGCACCACACACCGGCGGATGAGTCACGGTGCTGCGGAATGAGCAAGTGACGTCACCTGGCCCCAGTGCAGACGCCGCGGCGCCGTTTCCTAGATCGATAGGCGCTCTCTGGCTGCTCTTCTTATTTTGTCGTCTGTGCCTTGTAAGGCGATCGCGACCCTTGACACAAAACACCCCTAAAAGTAAATGGAGGCAGCACGTGGCTCAGTAAATTTGGTTTAAATTTTTGCTTATAAACGGACGACCCACAGTGTGAAATCAAAACCTGCATTAATTAGTTTGAAATATTAATTGGTTAAAAAAATTTAACGATGCATGATTTCTTTTTTTTCATATTACAAACTAAATTTTATGTAGATCATAATTTTTTTTTTAATTCAATCAATTATATCAAATTTGAAAGAATTTAATTAATTATATCCTATATTAAATTTAAATTTTTTTTATTTTTATCGAATTTTTAGTATTCATGTTACCAAATAAAATTACTGTTGTGTGGCTATTTTTGTCGGGTTTTCCACCATATGTGCCTCTTTTCCCTTGGGTTGAGCCGTTTTTTATGTGCTACTGGTTGATTTGCGAGCACCAAGGCACCCCCCGCGTGTGTGTGCGTCGGATTATTAGCGCGAGGGGTGGTTTTGAGTGCAGTGCAGAGGAAGCCGGCTGGAGCCGCGGGTATTGACCTAGTCTGCTGGCATTGGGGAACTCCGTGGTGTGCGGCTGATTGCCTGCTTCTCAGGCCAGACTAGAGCTCCTTCCTTCTCGCCCTGCTACTCCGTCAATCAATAAAGTAACAACTACTTAATTCGTGCCAGGGTGTATCCAACTTGGGATTACAACGTACCCAGCACTTCCTGTATTGTTCTTTATTTAGGTCGTAAAACTCACTCAGATTTGGGGGGTGCAATAAAAATTTAATTCGAATACTAGATAAGGTTTTGAAATTGAAGCTGAATTAATTTAAATTGATTTATTTGAAGGATGATTTTTAAATATTCTAGACTGTTTAAAAATTGGCATGTCATTACATTCATTTTATTTTGCTGATGTATTTTTAAATATTTATTATAGAAAATATTTTTTATTTTATTTCAAAGTATTGTTTCTACAATTCTCAATATTTGTTGAAATTTTATTTTTATTTTTATTTTTTCCAATTATTTGGTTATAATTTGCAATCGAGTTCTGCTTGTAATTATTGAAGGCTAAATTTGTTTTTATTCCTTTCAGCTACTGAAATCCGCTGCCAGGAGGAGTCTCGTGGAGGTCTCCGCTACGAGGTCATCCTCGCCGAGCCCTTAACCGACACCCCTCCCAAGCCCAGGCCTGTGTCACCTCAGGCCAAAACTCCTGACATCGAGACCATCACAGAGAAGATGGTTGCTGCTGAAGAGAGGCGCAAGGTAACAAATCCCAATGACATTCGTTTGCATTTTTAATTAATTTAACATTTTCAATTCCAGTCCTTGGAGGCCTCCAAGCTGAACGAGCTCAAAGCCAAGATGAACCGCATTGAAGAGGCTGCCAAGAAGCGCGATGAGCAGACTCAAGAGTTCATCAACGTCACCAAGAACGCCCTGGACCAGAAGATGAAGGTCCACACTGAGAAGCACGAGGAGTACCTCGGAGATCTCATCAGCAAAGTCAAGGAGCATGTAAGTTTAAATTTTAATAAGGAAACTAATTATAATTGTCTTACTGCTGAATTTCTCTTTTCAAATTTATGGCAAATTTGTGTTTAAAATTTATATTTCCACAATTTCCAACTTTCATTTATACAAAAAAAATTTGCAGCTTGAAATCGTTGACAAGCACAGGCAGTCGACCACCGAATCTGGTGACAAGCAAACTGAAGAGGTGCGTACCTCGTTGGAGGAGCGTCTGCGCACCGCTTCCGAACAACGTGAGGAGCACCTTAGGAAGCAATTGGAAAGGCTGAAGGAGCATGTAAGTTCAATTTTTCAATATTTCGGTGCATGTTGTTTGAATAGAGGAGCATGTTTGCAATAGAATGTTGCTGTTTTTTCAAATACATATGTTTTATGTATTATTATTTTGGCAATTTATAGTCAATTGCTTGTTTGAAATTCATAAATGTTTAGAAAAGAGAATAGAAAAAGCATGGCAAATATTAGTGTAAAAGAATGCATAGAATTTCTCTGGTGAGATTATTTAAGTTTTTGTCTGCAAAATAATTTATAATTTGTTTAAAAAAATTCTTCAGTTAATTTGATGGGGGGGGGGGGGAAATACAAATCTTAAATATCAATTTAGCTTATTGTATTCATAAGCATTTTTTTTATTTGGTGCACTGTGGTTATTATTTTGTATTATGTCTTGCTGCACGTATATGTAGGCTGTGTCTTGCGCCCGAGTTAGAGAAGACCAGAAGCAAAAGTCGCAGAAACTTCTCATCATCCAGGAGCAGATCCAGAGCAAGTTGAAAGATGCTGAGAACAGGAAGTCTCTGCATGAGGAAAAGCTGAGGGTTAGGTTGATTGAGCACGTGAGTAGATTTTGCTTGCGTCTTTGCTTGAGATTGTGCATGATGCTTGAACTTGTTTTATGTGAGCATTGAATCTGCTCAAATTTCTTATTCAATTTCAAATTCTACAGGAGAAGCGTTGCGAAATGGCTCGTCAGAAGCGCGAGCAACTGCTCCTGGAAGGCAACCAGCCCTGCAACGAAGAGACCACCGTGGCCGCCTCTTCGGGATAAACGGCAAACAACCTGAGGCCGCGAACTCTTCTCATGCTATTGACTAACATTATGTTTCTCACCAGCACTAATTCCCTGATTTATTTGTAACTAGAGTTAAGTCTTATGTTTAGTGAGGTCATCTGGCCGCAACTAATTTTTTTATGCAGAAAAGAACCAAGCATGATGTCAAGTGAGTAAAGTGTCGATTGATGTTTGTACGTGAAGTCTTTTAAACGATGGATGGGCATTTCCTTAAGTCGTCTCCGCAACTGTCAAAGTAATGTGAACGGAAACTCATGATTAATGTGGTTGGCTCCGTCATTGTGAGCAACCAAAAAAGAAACTGTATCATTAACAATTAACAGCTTTGTCGCGTGTAATAATTAAATTGCTGCATTCTAGACAACAGAAATTAAAACGCTTTTTCAAAATGAATAAGAGACCAAACTATAATAATTAGATGCTGTCAATTGCCATAGCAGAACGAGAGAAAGAGTTTTCTTGTGATATGTACAATTGGTTTGCCTTGAATTTGTATCGCTAAAAATTGTTTTTGAAGACGAATCAAAATGTTTAAAAAGATTTTTCTTGCTGAAGTGCCATTACATTGATTAGAATGTGAGGTGAATCAATTGACAAGTTCAGAACACACTAGCAAATCCTTGCATAAATGGAAATTAACAATAATAATAATATGTCATATCAGACAAAAGAACTTAAATACCCGACAAAAACCACCTTGTCAAACAAGCCGGAAAATGAAACATTCCTGATTGATTTGCTCCAAGTAAATGTGAACAATAAGTAATTAAGTGGCATTTTGCAAAGTAAGTAGTGCTCTATATTTTTGCAAATCAATGTAAAACTTCGTTCTGGCTGTCTTGAGACTTATAGTATTTTGCAACAACCTAAAAGACGGTTTAGGTTTCTTCTCATCTACGATGCTTTACTGTGAGTTCCAGAAGTGTGTTTTAAAAAGAAACTACTTGATTTAAAATAACATGAGATTAACGATACTCTCCTATACCGACTTAAGGTTCACAGCATTAGCTTTTCAATAGACGGATAAGTAACTTATGGAAAAATAACAGTTCGTTCATTGTGAGTCAAAATAAACATATAATAAAACGCATTTCTTGCTTCTGAATTTATTTGAATAACAAAAATACCACTGTTGAATTATAATTTGCTACTCATTGTCAGCTACATTCAGCCAAATTTTGAGCAATTGGAATTATAATATTGTTTAATATGTAAAATACAAGTAGAATGGAAAACAAGTATTTTAGTTAGCACTATCTCATTAATTTTTAATATTTCTTCTTCAATAAATTGCACAGCATAGTATTTTTAATAATTATGTATAGAGTGAAAAGTGTAATAAATAATTAAAAAAAATTTAAACCTTTTGATGAAAGTCTTTATTGAGTATAATTGAAAACTGAACTTTGCCATGTTTTATAATACTATTCATAAAAAATAATCAAATGTTAACTTATTTCCTTAAATTGCAACGAAGATGACAAAATTCATATCTTCTGCTTTATCAATAATTGATAATACTGAGTCAAATGTAATATTCTTGCCCTTCCTCTTGGAAATGTTTCACTTCTTACTGTTGATGATATTTGGCATGTTAGTTTCTTATGCAGAAATAGCCGCGCACAGGATTTCAATTAACCCTTTGATTAAGTTTCATGTAATTTGAATTACAGGACGTAAAAAACAATAACAATTTAATGGATCACATGTGCAAAGTTCACTGAAACCAGTCAAAGGGACTTCATTTCATACATATGAGGGTGCTAAATATGATATGAAAACATAGAACATTCACACATTTTATTATTAAATTTAGAAATTATTAAAATTTTCAAATTTTGCCTTCTAAATTTTCATGTGAAGACATAATATATTAAAAATAGCAATTTTTATATTAATGATTAAAAATAAAATACATAAAAGAAATCACTTATTGTTATAAAATATGCCTGTTTCTGAAAGAGCATTATTTTATTTTTATTGTGTTGGGTGTAATCTTTCTTGTATCCGCTTCTTCAATCTCTAACTGTAACAGAATTTTGTTAATGAACCCCTTTTAAACAGGGATAAGGCGATTGATTAAGAAGATGAGAGGTTGTGTTTTATAGTCAAAAGTGAATATTGAAAGGAGCGCTCGCGCGCGTTTAGCATTTTCAATCAATTAAGGGGCGATCGAGATGATGACATGTGTGTGACTTGACAAGTTTCTGCGTGGCGGGTGGGCCGCGGGTTGGGAGACGCGTGAGAGGTCGCCCGTGCAATATTACAAGGCGAGTGCTCTCCACGTTCGGTTCGCCCTCGAGAAATTCGTGCGCTGCTGCACGAGAGGGCGGCGGAGATGGATCTCTTTCATGGCGTGCGCGTATGTCAATTTATGCATATTAATGAACTGCTCCACTTATCGCTAGCCCGCTCCTTCAATGCCTCGCACTGCTCACTCTATTTGTTTTTATCAGGAGCCGAAAAGCCACCCCCGAGGGCAAACGCCGCCGGGGGATCAGACGAGAGATGCTCTCTTTCCACCGGGGGATTTATCAACTCTCCCTGCATATTTATTATGCGTGAATTCGAACGAAACAAGTTTTGCGGTCTGCGCGCGATTAATTGGATTGGTGCAAATACACATGCCGCCGCTGGTTGCATGATGTGTTTATTTTACGCTGTCGGTATGCAAATCGACCTTTACTCTGCTCAAATACACGTCATGCGTGTGTAATACCGTGTGCAACTTTTCCTCTGGATCGGATCAGCGATCAGATATGTACCAGAAATTGCAAAACTGCTGAAAAAAATAGCAGATAAATATAAAGAATGTTAGAAAACTTTTATTATTGTAGACAAATTTGTATATTTTTTAGCATGTGAGAATTTATTAATTGAGTTTATATTTTAAATTTTTGTCTGAACAAAAGAAATTTTAAAACGATAGAAATATTTACTTAAAATATAGAAAGAAATTTTATACATAATTTTTTATTTTACTTCCAAGAAAAAAAAAGAATCGAAAACTTTCATTATAATAATTGTATTTCACAGCGCCTTCCATGTGGCTTTAAATCGGTACCCATTTTTTTATATTTTAGTATTTTCCCTGGAAGAAATTCTTTGTTTTCCTGCTGAGTATGCCAACCTGATTTAAAAATTATAAAAAAAGTATACGAGAAGTTGGATAGAAAATTAAATTAAAATTTTAAGTAATACATATCCATGCGAAAATGTAAAGTTTCGGCGCAGAAACTCAAACCATATTTCACACAAGGCAATTGGCAAAATATCTTGTCAAATTTGGTGCATAGGGGCGCCGAACGAGCTAGCCTAGGGTTGTGGGAGGGTGGGAAGGCAGTCGTGAGGGTCGACAGATCTACGGGCTGCGATCGGGTGCATGCTTTATTGGCACCGATAAGCGACATGAATTGCAAGCGGGCGCAATGGGCATAAAAAATTTATGAAAAGCTACATGCACACTGCAGTTATGGAAAAAAAAATACATTGGAAGAAGCTGTGGATGCAAGGCTGCCTGCTACGGGTTCATGCATACATCAAATCAACAATCAACGCATACATTACCTATAATGTACTGCTTTTGCTCTGATTACGTAGTAATATAAGGATAGAATAATTTATTTTATTTTGCACAAATATGCAAAATGAATTTAACTCATTTTATAAAAAAATTACTTCTCTTTGTAATATATTAAAATGAAAATTAAAAATAAACGATAATTATAATTAAATAATGTCACGAATTTTGATTGTGTCGAAATATTATACATATCAGTTTTAACTATTTCAAGTAATATAATAATGAAATTTTTTCAATATGTAGAGTATTTTCGAAAAAAAAAATTAAAAGTTTTTGATATTGTATATATTTAAAACTGATTTAAAAAGATTAAAAATCACATGTATTTAAACTTTATTTTTTAATTTTCTCACTAATGAACGTTACTCCGCAGAAAGTATTGGGCAGTGTTTATTTTTCTAAAGCGCATGGTTACAAAAGTTTTACATTAAAGTTTTTTATGAAAATCGTAAGAAGGTGGAATGTCTTTTCACTTCAACTCTTTCCGCACCGCGTGCCGCGTAATAGATAAGGATGCTTGCGCATCTCAGGGGTTATTACTTTTGATAGAGGTGAAAAAGTAGAAGTAAATTGGCCAGAAGTTAGGCACTGGTGCTTTTTCTCGGTACTCTCGTGCAGTAAAAAAGAATGGGCGCTCGCAGCTAGGATTTTAGCATTGAAACGATTATTGCATCTGCGGCGGCGGCAGCATTGGGAAGGAGAGAAAAAGAGACCAAGACAATTCCAAGAGAGCACAGATAACATCAGTGAGGGCGATTTATTTTATTTTTTATTCTCCTCTTATTCGGCTTTAGAAATAATTGTGTGAAGCATTTGGAGGGCGCACTTTTTATTAAATCTCTGTCTGTGAAATTGAGTGCCAAAATTCTCCACCCCCAGTAAATTGAGAAAAAAAATTCCCTCACCCTAGCGAACAAGAAAATAAAACATTTTACTACATATTACTTGCGATTGCCATTTATTTAATATGGTTCTAAATTAATATTAATTGAAATCAATTTTATTGTATTTTAAGTAAAAATTGAGGTGAGAAGAACAAAAATAAAAGTGATTTTCAAACAGAATAATAATGATCAGCGGCGCCTGTTCGAAGCACATGACACTTTTTGCACTCGTGCCGGAGCCAGATTGGCCGACGACGAGCCTCTCTATAGCAACAAAGAAACATCTGAATCAGCAAATTACCATTCAACCTGCAGCTATCCGAACAGACAGACACTGTGGAATAAGACACGTCCGTCCGTTGTGAAATATCCACTTTCAAATACGGAGCTGCTCAATTTCAAGGAAATAAAACAGAATACAAATAACAAAAAAAAAAGCATAATATCTCTAAACAACTCAAATTTTTAGTTTTATAAAATTATAAGTGTTTTCATTTTAATTAATTAATATTTTTATCTTTTTAATTGTTTATTTTTAGTTAAAAAAAAAATAAAATTGCATAAAAGTTGCAATGGACCACTGCAATTTGATAAAATTAAGATTATGTAAGTTAAAATCATTGAATCCCAATTAGTTATTTTTATGAGTTTTTATTTCACTAAATTTTGCAGCTAAACCTGAAATTACATTTTCAAAGTAAAATCCAGAATCTTATTTTTGCAACCGAGAGTTGTGAAGTGGCCAGGGGATCACAGTTGAGCAGATCGATCCTGACTGCTCTTTTCCAGGTGAAAAAGCAATTTGCTCTTCATGTAGTGGCGGCGTCGTTTGCTTCCAACAATTCAACAAATGGGAAAAGTGGACTTATCGCCTTGTATTCCTGCTGCAATTTCATTGCTCAAAATTAGCCTGTTCAATCCAAAATTTAATTCAGGAATTTACCTCAGCAATTTTTCTGTCTGTGAAGTATTTCTTTGAAATCCAGAGTATGAGGGCAAAGTCCTGGATGATGTTCTCCGGCACGTGATTTCCATCGTTCAAACTCTTTTCCCCAAGAGCGTGCATGTAAATCTGTGCGACATGCGAGTTGATGTCCATTTGGCGAAGCTCGGTGATCAGAGTTTCGTAAGGCATTTCATGCATCCCCATCATTTTCACCGCCATAGAGATTCCCTGGAGTTTACCATCGACCACATCCCCAATCAAAAGAGGGGGAATTTCCTAAAACATTTATGTCAGTACTTTTAATTTTACGTGAGAATAATTAATAATAATTGAATAGTACAGAAAATATATTTTAATCTATTGTGGTTAATGAACAACAACAATGATGTTAAAAAAAATATTTGTTTAATCAATTCAATACAATTATATACCGATTCATTCTAATATAATGCAGAATAAAGCTTATTTCATTTAATTTGTGAATAACGTTATTTAAATTCCTTTGTAAATAAATTCATATTTCTTAGTGGCAATAGTTAATTTACTAATGATGTGAGTACAAATTATAACAAAATTGGAGTTTTTAATTTAAATTATTGATTATCGATATTATAATTCAGCAAGATCTACTATATATTATTTATTTTAAAAACTTCAGTCAAAAAATATTATATTACCATTATTTTGCAAAAGCCGTGGATAAACCTATGCTCCGATGGAACATTTTCTATGTCCGCTACTTGCTTGAACAGATCCGCGACATCATCATGCGGTCCATTGAACCTGTTCAAAATTGAAAGCAAGCAGGGAAGCGCAATTTTCCCGTTGTTTGCCATTTTGCACTCTGGAGACAACTAATCTTTCTCTTTCTCTAGTCCGATTGACCTGCGCACTTTTGAATTTATTTTTTCAATCGTTGTCGTAAACTTGGAGGTCGTCACATACACAATGTGCATTTCATAGCATATTTACACGTTTATTCTTCATCTTTTGGATTTTTTTCATTCTTTGCCTGCCCTGCCTGTTATGCATGCATGCAATGTGTGCTATCGTACAAGTCGATCACAATCCTCACGTTCCAAAAGGTTTTCAAATTTCATTAACGCTTGCACAGCGACGATTTAAAAATTGCTTAACAAATTATTCTTCTTGAATTATCAGCAAATATGAATTGAAAAAAACAATATAAAGATATGAAATTTAAATAAAATCAACATAAATGAAATTTATAAAAAAAAAAATCAATTTAATGAGAAAAAACACACAAAAATAATAAAAAATAAGTGTATAGTAAAATGTGAAAAAAAAATTGTGATGGGGTGCTCTGCAGCTTGTTTACCAGCATTTAACAGGGTAACAAGACATCAGTGATGAGGAGACGAGAGGGCACCAAGACGCGAGGGTGCGATTTTCCTTTTCTAAAGGGGAAGTGATTAGAGCGCCGAGTTTTCTTTTCAAGCTGTCTTTCTCATTCACGACGAGCTCGTTTTCCCGCAAGAGGAGCGCAGAGATATCTCTCGTTTTGTCCTTCACCGACTTTGCAGATACCGAGATTTATTCTCTCTCGTCTCCCTGTGCGAAAGTGAACTGAGAGCAGCCAGTGATTAATGGCTAATTACGCCGATTGACTTTTCCGATACTTGTTTGGTGACGGCGAAGGGAAATGCGAATGTATCAGACTCATTTGTTGGGAATGGAAGAGTAAGAAGACGTTGGTATTGGTAAAGAATGTTTATAGTAATTTAATGATAAGAAATTTCTTAAGTATATTCCTCCAGCTTCAAATTGAATTGAGAAGTAATAAATTTTGTCTTATAAAATTTTTGTGCCACAAATCAAGAATTAAAAAAAAAATCACGACCTAAAATTTTAAAATAAGAGAGAGAGAATTTCACACCAATTTTCTGAAATATATGCCGGGAAAAAAAATCAATATACCAAAAGTTGTGAGAAAATTAAAGTTTTATTTCAAAATATTGTAATTAATTTAGGGGAAAAAACAGATGAAGAAATATTTTATTTTGCCTGTGATTAAACTTGCGCTCATAATATTTTTAATTTCTACCTTTTTTTTCAAATATATTTTACGCTAGAAAACCCTATCGAAAAAAGCCGCACCCCATCTCTATCTGATGCGAATCTCTGGCAGGGAGCAAAAGGTGGAGCAGAAGGCAATAAAATTAGAGGAAATTCTCGTGAGTGTAACCGGCGTTGCTGGCAAACAAGGAGCGTGCAGTTTTTATATAAACGTGGATGAAAAGAGACCCCAGGAGAGCAAAGCAGAGAAAACGAACCAGCTTTCGCGGAAAACGTCTCGAGAGAATTTTAGCCTTGCATTGCTTCTTCGATGTGACACAAATCGGCTCGCCCTTATTTCGGTTGCTATACTCCCTTTGAAATGTGGGTTGATGATTTGATCCTCCCCTCAGCGATTTGTATGTTGTGTTTTTCTCTGCTGGCAAAGAGAGACACGCACGCACTTTGCTTTTACTGGCGCAATACTCATAAAATTTAATGCCAATTTGGAAGGAAATTCAAAGCGATTGACTTGTGAATCGGCCTCTAAATAAACTGCATTTCCACAGAGGGCGGTTTCTTTGATTCGAATAATTTTTTTTTGTGCGTGTAATTTTCCTTTTTCAAATTTCAAAATCCACTAATCCAGCATAAATATTTTTTCCTAATAATATTCTTCTTTTTTTTTTGTAAATTTTGCAAATATTTATATATAGATTAAAAAAACATTAAGGCTCAGATCATTTTCACTCATTTTAAAAGATACAAAGTAATATGGAATAATTACAGGTCAGAAGTTTTAAGGTTTAATAATACAAAGCAAATTTCCAGTTGATAGGCATATTTTATCAAACTATTTAATTTAATTGGTTTTTTTTTTACTCTTTGAACTCTTCCTTTTCACTCAGACCATCTTTGACAAAAAACAGAAGGCTTTGATCAAACGATAAAAACGATTATTGAATGAAAAGGGGTGGATTTTCTTCTTTGCGACCCCTGTTAAAGCTTTGAGCTCAGCCCCAAGGAAGGGATTTTTCGCGGAGCAATAAATTTCCGCGGCTGCTGCAATTCGATTAGGCAGTAGCAAGACGAAATCCTTTTACTTTTATTGCAGTGCATATACATGCATGTGGCCGAGAAGATTGGAAATATGCCACGCACAAAATTCTCTATAATATTAAATGTATTGGCCCCATCTTTGCTAGTGCACGAGGCCGGCGGGTCCATAAATTAGCCGCAAGACTGCAGTGCAACCAACGCTGCTGCATTCAGCAGAGCTGGGGATGATTTTCGCTCCTCTCTCTGCCCCGAGTTGTAATTGGGGCGCATGATTTATGTCGGGCGACGCTCCGACAGACATTTCTATTAACCAGCTGAGATAACTGCACATTTTTTATGTTTATTATTTTTTAAATTATTAAAGTTATAATTTATATAAAGTAGCAATATTTCATTTAATTTAAATATAAAATCAGATAGATTTAATTTAATTTTTACTTTAAAATTTAAATTTTGTTGACGGTTTTTTCTCTAGACTTTTAAAGTATCATAGAAAATAATATTATTTTGCAGGAAACTATACAACAAATAAAATATAATGCACGGAGAAAAGCAAATTGTCATATCATGAATATCATCAATACTGGTTTTTTGAAGTTCACTTAAAAATATTGCTAATTCCATTTGCATTTTTATTTATTATTCTTTTTAATCTTTTATTTACTGACAAGATAACAATAATTTTTAAGATTTTGTCACTTCCCTTCTTCAGTTCGTTCAAACTTGTTTCAAAAAATTAAAACCTTCATTATGCATCTCATTTTTCCCTTTTCTCAACAATTCAAATCATGTCTTCCGCCTTCTCTCCGTCCATCTGTCGAGCAAAGCGATCATTGCTGCAAACATCAAAGGAATAAAGCGCCCCTGATTGATAACCATCTAACTCGCAGCTCCGCCAACTCTCTCTCCGAGCACAAAGAGAAAGAGAGAATTTGTATTCGGGGCGGTTACTTGACCGCACGATGCATTTGAACCCCTGCTCGATCGTCCGGCCGCTTTTCTCTTTCGCTCGTGATTTCATTAGGGACTCGCGTATTCGAAGGTGCGAGTGATCGAGTCTGATGCTCGGTTTATATTTATTCTGACCGCCGCGGCGACGAAGCACCCATACTAATCCACCCCTCGTCAAGCGATCTGTTTCAACCACCACCGCAATTGCATGCCTAGTCCTATCAAATTTGTACAAGACATGGAAAGTAATTCTTTGGCAAAAATAAAAGCTGATAAATATAAATCCTTAAATTATGATTTTAGTAATATTATATTCTTAAAAACGTTTTTAAATTTCCTATTGATCGTAATTTGGCAAAACACATATTTTTATTTATTTTAATGTTAGCATTGAATAAGTTTGATAATTATTTTGCAAGTCTAAAAAAATATGCATTAAATCATCTTCAATTTTAAAATTTGGAGAAAAAAAATAGAATATATAAAATTTACGAGTTCTTATGAACATAATCAAAGCCGTTTAAAAATATCGAATATCTTGGACTATTTAATTTTGGCATTTTATCTAGTCAGTTGAGTGACCTGACCCCAGAGAAAAGCGTGTCCACTCGTCGTTCGCTCGCCGAAAGGTGGGCCAGAGGCCAGCGCATGCTGCCCGGATGCTGGGGAGATAATGGAGCGCCTTTGCCGTCAAAAGAACTGCCTGCGGATTTTTTACACTCAATGTACCCAAGGCGGTGCAGAGAAGAGAAAAACGGTCGCTCTTGGAGAGGAACTAGAGATGTGTGCGTGTTTTTAACTGGGGTGGGCATCTCCTTATACTTAACCACGTAGTGATCCACTTAAAACTGCATTTCAATGATCCGGCCCCTGTCGGCGGGCGAAGCGCCTTTTATCGCCGTTTACGCAAAATATCTCCTCGCGTTATACATTCTCTCTCAAAGCCAGGCTCGGCTTGCAATGATTCACTCGGAAAGAGACGTGATGCTCTTGAATGTCACTTTTTTGTTTACACAAAGCATCTTTGTTTTTTATTTTAATTCTTTTCAATAATTTTTCCACGTGTTTCTAATCTTTCAGACAAATAGCATAACTTTTAATTTTAGATTTTTTATTTAATGAAAACTAAGTTATAATTTCGGTGCCTACAAACAAAAGATTTAACTATTGAGCCTTTTTTTCTGATATAAGTTAGCATAGGTTGTATTCATGGATGGGAAATATCGGTGATTGGAAATATTTTTAAAAACTTTTCTGAAATAAACCAATGAATCCAATTTATACAACTTTTCAAGTGGAAATAGAGGTTTTGAACCTGAAATCTACTTATGGACGAAAAATCACCTATATTTTATTTTTTCACCCATTTGAGTAAAAATAAACACATTTTCAAATATTTTGAGACTCTTTACCTTACCCTATACTATATTTTGAAATTATGATTTTACTGATAAAAACCTATTTTCAGAAGAAAAAAAATAGACTATTGAAAGATTTCCTTGACTAAAAAACAACTTAAAACTTTACATTAAAATAAATATTCACTTTTTCCAACTAAAATAATCTACATAAGTATTTGCCTGCTATTTCAACTTTTTTTTTGCTAACAAAAAGCACCTAATTTTCTGAAGCCTATATTCCTGTGCATTATTTAGGTGTGATAATTTTTCAAGCTATCGGTGGAAACAAAATATATGCTTGACCAAAAGGTTAAAATATAAAGAAGATTTTAATTAATCTGCCGCATTTTACCATTCTGTTGAGCAAAATTATAAATAATAGTATTATCTGCAACTCAATTTCCAGAAAGTAGCCACGTCGGTCCGCATGCGGCAACAATATATTGAATTG